CCTGTCAAATAGGACTATGGTATCCCATAACAGACTCATTTGAACTTCTAGGATATAGTGACTCAGACTTTGGGGGAAGTCTTACTGATAGAAAGAGTACATCAGGGGGCATTCAATTTCTTGGTCCAGCACTTGTATCTTGGTTTAGCAAGAAACAAGCTGCTGTTGCCTTATCCACTGCTGAGGCAGAATACATGGCAGCTGGAAGTTGTTGTACACAACTTATGTGGATGAAAGCTCAGCTTTCAGACTATGGTTTCAATTTTAAAAATATTCCAATTTGTTGTGATAACACTAGTACAATCTGCATGACTAAAAATCCTGTTCAACATTCCAGAACTAAGCATATAGAAATAAAGTATCATTTTATACGAGATTTAGTTCAAGCTGGACATATTTGTCTGCATTTTGTGTCTACCGAGCTTCAACTAGCTGATCTCTTTACAAAACCCCTCTCTGGAGACCGCTTTTTACAGTTGTGTACTGAGATTGGGCTAAAATCTTTTGAAGAAATTAAAAATCTCTAAAAGCTGACAACGCTATCGGGTACTTATTAACTCTAGGTGTTTTGTGCTTAGTAATTTGTTAAGAGGCCAGTATTTTACGGCTCATGCGTGTTTACTTTTAAAAAATCTGCATCATTACTTCAGCTTTATACAAAAAACCTCTTCGTCTCCCCTTCTCCTAACTCTGCTCTTTACTATTTAAAGTCCTTCTCCTCTTCTTTTCTCTTCACTCTGCAAGCAAAGCATAGCAAACAAAAACTCCTTCAAACATGAGTGACTCTCTTCCCCGACCTTTTCGCTTTGATGGTTTGGTGCACACCTATCCTGGCTACATGTTCCATGAGCCAGTAGTCATCAACCACCATCGCCACCTTCAATACTTCGAGAATAGGAGACTCCACCACATTACTCAGCTCGATCCATACGAGTTCAATCTCTACAAACTCGATATTGTGTCTCTTATCGAGAGTCTGGGTTGGGATTTCCTGCTTCGACAGCCTCTGCATCCTGCATGTCCTGGGGCTGTCAAGTACTTTTATTCAAACCTTCGAAGCCAAGGTGTAAGCACTAGATGCTTTTCAACTGTGGTCTATGGTCACTTATTGACCATTCCTGTAGCTGCTCTGAGTGGGATTTTGGGTTTTCCCTCTCAAGGGATTGACATAGCTCATCCCTCCGAATTTTGGAAACAGGAGTTCAAGCTTCCCATTGAGTATGGGAACTTCTCAACCGAGCCCACAGGTGGCTCCGATGTGCCTATTCCGGTTGAGTGGCTGCCTCCCAGACTGCGAGTCTTCCATCATTTCCTTACCCATGTCTTCTTCCCTCGCTCTTTCAACCTTGATCGAGTTCTGCCCATGGATCTCTGGATCATCTCAAGTGCAACTGCTGGGCAAAAACTGGATTTCTGCTCCCTCTTTTTCTCCAATCTCCTGCCAGTGGGAGATGAACATTATCAAGGAATGCTGCCCTTCGGGTCCCTGATTACCCGAATGCTCATCAATCTCGGTGTTGACCTATCTGATTTCCGCAGCATTTCCTCCACCATGTATGTGAGCGCACTCAATGTGCTCATGGTTCTCGACCTTCCTACTGACATCTCTCCTCCTCCTCTCCCTTCTGCTTCCATTCTTGGACCTCGTCCAAAGCTGCCCTCTGCCAAAAAGGCCAAGTCTGCTGGCGAATCGAGCAAGGGTGGAAACTTGGTGTTCACTGTGACTGAAGGAGAGTCGTCCTCGGATGACTCTGCTGCTTCTGCTCCCCCCTCTTAAGGGTCCTTGCTGTCAGGGGGAACTTCTTTAGTTTTTTTTAACTTTTGGAAAGGATGCAACCTTTTGCTTTAATGTTTAGGGGAACTAGGCAGTACTGTCTTCACGGCAGATATTTAGGGGGAACTAGGTAGCCTTATCTATTTCTGTTTCTGTTTGCTCAAACTGTCTTGAATAGATTCAGGACTTATTTTGACTGTACCCCCATTGCATCCTAAGTTAATGAAAATTTCAGATTTCTGTTCGGAGGATTGCTGTTGTGGTTTGTCTGTCTTTGTTTCAGGGTCTTCTCGGACGAAGGGGGAAATTGTTGATATATGACGTGCTGCTCAAGTAGATAAAACGACGCCACTTCCTTAATCACTTACGACGTCGTCCTTCAAAGCCTTCACAAATACAAACCTCTGTCGTTTTGAGCGTGGAACAACGTTTCTCTCCCACAACCGACCATCATCCAGATCTGCTCGCCTCTCGATCTTCTTTTCCTCCCTCGCTGTGCTCTGGAAGACGAAGACATTTCTCTCGAAGCTCGCATCCCTCACATAGTTCATCACCGCCTCTACAAGACTAATGATGATCACAGTCGTAATCATCATCTCTAGCTAACGGTTAACTTCTTCTCTTGTATAAATAGTTAGCTCTTTTCTTTCATTCAGATTTGGCAGTTTGCAATAGAAACATAGTGAAGTGTCTTCTGTTGCTTTGGGTCCGTAGTCTACTTCAGTAGAGCAAAGCACAGTGTCGTAGAACTGGGTGTTCTGTTCTTGGGAAGTTTGGGTTTTTGTTCAAAGAGCCAATTCGTTGGCTTGGCTCTTGTTGTTCATGTGTGTTCAGTTCTTCTAAAATAAATAATAGTATCCTTTTCTAAAGGGCTGTTTCTATCGAGTGTGATTGTATTCACAAAATACATTTCTTGTTTCACACTCTGATTTCACATTTCTCTTTCTAGAGCGTCTATACCCTAAATTGTCGCGGAGGGGATGGCCGTCCCGGGCTCCCGGCCAATCCACCGTAGGCCAATTGGGCTCAGGTGTTTGGAGTCGGTGAAGGAAATCGCTTACAATACGTTCCTCCAACTTTAGTAGATGGAGATTTGGTTACCCTGCAAGCGATTCGAGATGAGGGTGCTTCGCGATGGAGGAATGCTTTGCTGGGTTAGTTTTTGGGGAAGCCGTCGAGTCTCTTCAAAATCAGGCGCTGGGCTCAACAATTCTGGGGCTGAGATGGTCAGGTCCTTGTTTCTCCATTTGGTCAGAATCTTTTTCTGTTCCAGCTCTCGGATAGTGATTCCTGTACTTGGGTTTTTGAAAACGGTCCATGACACTGCGAAAACAACCCTATGTTTGTGAGGAAATGGATCCTAGGTAGCGACAAGGCAAGAAAATGAAAGCAAGAAATGAAATAAGACACACGGTTTTAAATGGTTCATTAACACGATGTGTTAAGCTTGTTCACAGACATGAGAGAGCCAATTTTACTATACTTTGAGAATATACAGATTACAGAGGAGTGTGAAAAGTATTTATAGCATTTCTCATATGATGTTAATCCTAATTCAATATGGTAAAAATAAGGTTAAGACCGGTCGTCGCGAGATAGTCTTATTAAAGTCATATCAACATGCTTTATGATAATTTTAGTGTTCTTTCTCGTTTTTTGGTATGCATCTTTTTGATGTTTCTGAGCTATGAAAATTATCATGTGCTTTCTCGTGTTTCTAATATGCTTTATGATATTTTTGATTTGCTTTTTTATCTTTCTGATCCTTATAAGATATTTATGGCTTTCTTTTTCGTGTTTATAGTGTACTTCAGGAGATTTGTGGTGCGCTTCGTCGTCGTGTTCCTAGTATTTTTATGAGATTTGGTTTGTGTTTCTCATGTTTCTTATATACTTTGTAGTATTTTTTTTAATTTGATTTGATTTCTCATATTTATTTATGATATGTTTTATGTGATTGTGGTGTGATTTAGGAAATTCTGTGAGCCATTTTATTATCTTTTTGGTCCTCTTATAATTTGCTTTCTCGTATTTCTATTATACTTTGTGATATTTTTTAATTATGTTGTTTTCTTGTATTTTTTGTCTAAGAATTCCTAGCATTCAGCCACGAAACTAAAGAACCCAACATTCAATTCCCATTCTCTCTTCACAAAAAGTTTGTCAAACTGAATTAAGCCTCCGTTTGACAAGTGGTTTGAAGTTTAAGGGTCGAATTGGGTTCAACCCATTTTAGCATAATATATTAGAGAACCTATAATACAAAATAAATTATGCATATATTTGACTTATTTTAAAAAAATCTCACTAACTTACATTCATATATTACCAAATTATCAATCCTCATTTTACAATTCGATTTAGACTGGTCAGACGACAGGTCTAACCGATTTTGACTTTTTCTGGAACCGTCCAATTAAAACCGGTTGTAATCGGACTTAATTAATTAAACCGGCTGGCCGGATAGAAGTTTGACTACTTTGCATCAAAACAGGTAGTCATGAAAGCAATACCCTGATTGAGCTATATATGCTGCAACTGATAAGTTAGTACACATGGATCAAGTTTTATGAAATAACGAGCGGAAACCTGAAGGTATGACAAAAAATATCCAGATCCGATAAAACGACATGTAGGTAAATAGAAACAAGTACTCTGATTAGTCTCTCGCACAGCAAAAAGCTACGGAGACAAGCAAAGCAGGGGAGTTAGGTTAAAATATAAAGGTTATACTGTTAGCTTTGTGTTGAAATTCATCAAAGGAAATAGGCCAAGCGAGGTTCAAGATCAGCTTCATCGTTCTTATTACGATTGGGATTGGTAGGGAAAGAGTGCGGCAACAGATGGACTAATAGGTTATAATTCAACTTTTAATATTTTAATTTGATTATGTTTTACTTTTTATATTTAAAGAAAATGTTGTTATCCTAACAATATTTGGGGTGTTGTGATCCTAGAATTAACTTTTTTGCTGAGAATGAGTGGTTGTTATTCGTCACATTTATAGAAACGCTAATTTTTTAGTCAACGGTCTTGCTCATCAAGGATCACCTATTAGACCGAATATATTTCTTTTAATTTTAAGGATCCAAACATTGATCGTTGGCTTTTGTATGACTCTATTGACGAGTTTGTAATCTACAAGATTTAAGTTTAAGATACGGATGCTTGCACCATTTTCACACAAAAGAAAGGTGATTGATCCTAGAAGTAATATAATAAATAATTCAACGAAAAAAAAATAAGCTTATATATATTTGAAATGTCTGACATACGACAACAATAACTAATGATAAAACAAGTTGCCAAAATCAAATCACCAAGCAACTAAAAATGAAGCAAATTACATTGAATACAATCCTTCCAATGATCAGGGAGTTTTCCCCCAAGAAAAGCATCTCACAAACCCTGCACTACAAACTTTATTCCCCTCATAGTCATAACCCATTGGTACCCACCGAAACAACACAGCCGACGTACGGAAGCTACAAACTTTTACACATATGAAAAGACTAGACAGTTAAAACTGCACTAAGAGAAGTTGTCCATGGCCAAGACGGTACTGAGATTCATCGGAGAGATAACATCGGGAGAACCGTTCAGGATTGTCTGGACGATGAACCCGTTGGCCCTTTCCGATGGATGGAAAGCATCCCAAAACACATTCACATCCCGATTCTGACACAAATTGGAGGCCGGGGTGCACAGGCCTATCCCGTTGTACGGCCCCTGCCCGCAGCAAGCAACTTCTGAATCTGTAAACCCTACAGAATACAACAAAGGAACCAAAACAAAATGAAAATAACCAAATAACTGGAATCATTAAAAAAACCATACTTTCTATCCAATTGCGTCTCAAAAAGTTTGAAAGCTAGCTAATTGATCAAATGGTAAGGTGTAGGACACGGCACATGGGTGAAATTGATGGGCGTGACTCCTAATTGGGATCATTTAATTAAAGAAGGTGAAACAAATGTAGGGTGCCCCTAGAAATGGGGGCAATTGGACCATTTATGTTAGTAAATGCCGTTTAGATAGGGGGAGAAGAGTGTGGGTGTCATTTTCCTTCTTTAATATTTTTGTTGGACATAATTGGCCGCATCTAGGCTCTAGCTAGCAACCAAGTTGTCACCTTAATTAATATCATTTCACGTTCCAGTTTCTTCTCTTTTATTGGTTCCTAAGGGTACCCAATTTGCCACGTCCTATATCCATCAAGCATTACAGCTATGTCTCTTTCTCAAATCTAACAAATCTAGCTACCTCTTATAATATCACTATTATTAATTTATTATATCATATTGAGTATATACTGGTTATTTCGGTACACTCACTTTTTTTTTAAGTGTATTCACTTTAAAATTGATTAAAAATATAATACATCAAAATTTAAATTTTAATTGGTAGCATTCGTCTAATATGATGATGTAATATAGAATCACAACTAATCAATTCATTATAATAATCCCTAACCTTCAATCTTGAATCACAATCCAAAACCCCAAATTGTAAACCTAAACTCCTAAACCGCAAATCATTCAAATTAAAGTAAATCTTATGAAATTTGTAAATTTTCATGTGGTTTACTGTCCTTTTCATACCATAAATGACGATTAACATCGTTTTCACATGAATTGCATGCTCAAAATGATGATTATGAGGCGAGTGCATTGAATGCATTAAAAAATTAAGTGAATCGAGATATAACTATATATATATATATATATATATATATATTCATTCTACCACATTTTTGCCCAAACATGTTTCCCAAGGCATGATCCCATATATATGAATATGACACATGATCATACTCTATCAATATCTATATATATATAAATAGCATGCTAAAATTAGAGTGTTTATATTTATAATATGAGATAGCTAATTAACATGAAAATTTTATTTACGATATAAAAAATTTGTGCAATTTATATATGTCTTAAAGAGTAAAAATCGTAGATAAATAATTTAATGCAGTATTTACCAAAAGCCTCGGGATTGCTGATGAAGTCGTTGGTCATCATCCTAGTATTAGCAGCAATGAACACGCTTTCCCCAAGCTCCGAATTCAGCTCCCCAATCAAATCAGTGAGCTGCGGGTTGAAGAGCGCCGCCGCACGTTGGAGCTCAGGAGCGCACTGACCAGCGACGCCCCTCATGGCCCTCTCTGCCGGCACGCAACCGAGCGGGCCGGTGCCGGTGACCAGAACCCTGCGGGCTCCGAGGTCGTAGAGCCTCTCGAGGAGCTTCCTGTACTCGGAGATGAGGTAGTTCACGTAATCCGGGAGGGCGTACTGGCGGGAGCGAGCGGAGAACGGGACCAAGTAGTAGTTGTTGACGAAGTCGTTGCCGCCGACGGTGATGAGCACTAGGGCTTGGTTGACAACTTGCTGGGCCTGCTCGGGCCCGATCAGCGCTGCCAGCCGTGCTTGGTACTGCTCGAAGTATCGGTACTGCTGGAACATCCTTATTATGTTCACCTACGTTACGTACATTCACTATCATTAGTACGAGCAGTATTATGTTATATTGTGACTTGTGAGTATATTTGTGTAATTCGACAGAGTTGTATTTATTATCAGAGTCAGTAAAAATTATTTAATTTTTTGTGTTAGTGTTATTATCGAGCCTACGTAATTTCAAGAATGAAATACAATAATTTTCACGGTATTTTGATTTAGTACCATCCAATAACTCAAGTTTTTTTTTTTTTTGGTAGTAAGGGAGAGGCTTTAGGAGGTTGAGAGCTTACGAACTGAACGCCAGTGTCATTCAAGATCCCAATGCCGGCGGAAGCAAAATTGGCACCGACGAGCAGCCTTTCACCGTTCAGCTCTGGGCTCAAGTACGGCAATGTGGGCTCCGACCCAAGTGCTTCACCTAATGAGTCAGGTGCGGCCCAACGTGATATACACAATTAATTAATAACACAAGAAAGAAATAATGCGATAAGTTGCACTTGGAAGGAGTAAAACGACGTCGTCTCACGAATATATCTATATGAAAATACGTACTGATGAAATCGGGGATGTTGCGGCCATTGGAGAAGCGGCCGGAGGGGCGGCCGGAGGCAGAGTCGATGCCGTAAGGAGGCGAGTCGGCGCGAGCCGTGGTGGCCAAGTAATTGTTGTTGCCATTGTCGACCAGCGAGTCACCAAACACGAAAAAAGCCCTACCCTCCGCCACGTGGGCTACCAGACTGCAGCCCAAGATGGCTACTGCCACGGCCAGGCCCAAAACCGTTGATGCCATTGCAGCGAAGCTAGAGAGAAGGAATGGAGATACTATAATTGTTATGCAGAGTTTGGGGAGTCTCTTGATAGGCTTATATAGTGGCACAGAAAGTGATTTAGCTAGCCAGAGCAGTAAATATCATGTAATAAAAATAAAATAAAAATAAAAAGCTGCTTGCTAGCTGGAGCTAGGTAGGCCCACAATTGAATTGAATGAAGGAGGAGGAGAGGGCAAAAAGTTAGCTCAGGGAAGGGATTGGTTCATTAGTTTGTTTGTTGTCATGTGGAGGGACAATGACATTTTCAGGGATCGTGCACCCGTCCCGACTTTTCACCAGTTTCAACCATTTGCTGGGGCCTAGGAGGGTGGTAAGGAAGGTAACTACTATTGATCAGTCAGCGTGACGACTATTGATCAGTTCATGGATGCGTGTAGATTTCGTCTGCGGTGGGTTTGAGTTGGATTGTGCTATTTTCATCTCTATTCTTCAAATCTATAGTTTTCTTTGCTATGTACATCATAATTGTCGAATATTAGAGACGCAATTAGGAGTTATATGTAACTCCTCGTTACACTTTCGAATATCATGTTACTTCTCTTGTATATTTTCTCCCTAATTTTGTTATTAGGTTTGTTCCTCTCTCCTATTGTTTTTATGCCATGTTATGAGGATGAAGCTCTATGCAAATGTTATGATTGGTCAATGTCTTTCTATATCACATAATTTGTTGGGGGTAAGGTTTGCTATACCATCAAGGTACATATGTAGATATTCATGTTAGTTTTCGTTAACTTGTTCATCCATCTTATTGTCTTTGGTAGATTATTAGATTATATTGTTTTACCAATCTAACTATTCTTCTAGTTATGTGTCCCAATGTTTGCTAAGCATCATATCAAAAGTTACGTTACCAGTTTCTTATTCGTATTGGGATGATCTTATTCCAATGGACGGATATTTTACTAAGTATGTATGTTTTGGTTTGTACTTTTGGATGCGTAATCATATGTATATTATCGGATTACTTTATAGAATATATCGATCTCGTAAAATAAAATTTATCCTTCACTTGCAAGATCAAGAAATAAGAAATATAAGTATTAAGTTAATTTATCTATTTATCCGTAACATTTTATTTATTATAATGTTAAACGTTATTAGCATGCAGAGTTATGAAAGTTCCATCCAATAGGTATGAGATAGGATGACTATCCCTAAAGGGGTTGGAAAAATTACACCTCTGATTAATTATATGCTTTTAAGGTAATTGATTTGTATTGTATTTAATAATCTGTCTGAATTAAAAACTCATATTAATTATTTTCCTTTTTTTTTCCAGTGCAATGGTAGTCCTACCAGTGCAATGATATCAGTGTACAGGTGCAATGGTAGTTGTATCACTGCAATGGTATTTAAAAAAAAAATGTAATTAATATGAGCTTAGTGTTCAAGTGCAATGATAGTTGTATCAGTGCAATGGTAATTAAAAAAAGGAATGTAATTAATATGATTTTTTAATTCCCAAAAATTATTAAATACAACACGAATTTAATACCATAATTAACTATAATTAATAAGGAGTATCATTTTTCTAACCTAATAGAGGGGTGCGCAAACTAACTAATCCCATCCAAGAGCCCATCTTTTTTCACATAAGTGAAAAATTGAAGGGAGTAGAGACAAGGAAAGTAATGGAGATGGTAACAAAAATGATGTAAATATATCTTACCATTTTTAAAGGTAGGGTTTCTTGCCCTTGAGTTCTCGGACCATTTTGCGGTTCTTATCAAGATGAATGTGCCCAATGGTTCCTATCAATGTTGTCAGAACCGAACCGGAGCATTGTTGGTGCAGACGAGCGCGAGGTTGCACAGACTTCTCTCTTGATTTCCCACTTCGCGACAAACTCTAATCTGAAAGGGTAAAAATAAATTCGTGAATGCACTGATAATGTTGCTTCAGTTCTTATGTAAGAGAATAAACAAACAGTGAAGAATTGGTTTGATTGGGCTTAAAGCCCAAATCGTCTTCTTTAATAGCCCGTGTTGAACGACAGAGCAGATATGATGGTTTGGCCCTTTTGTTCTATACGGCTGCGTTTTGTGTTTCTTCTTCCTTTTCCTTAGCTTGTGTCGAGCTCCCTTTGTTCCCTGCTGATTACTCAAATCAAAGAGCTTTTGCAAAACAGAGACTTGTTAGAAGAAAACTGCTAAGCAAAAAGCAGGTAAAAAAACACAGGGAATTTTATACGTGGTTTCCGATACTGAAAGTACAGTATCGACTAGTCCACGGTCAAAGGTACTCAGTTTGAGTCCTTTGACGTTGCACTATGATTTTGAGTTTAGATTACAATAGTACATAACCAATCTCGTAGTGACTCCCTGTCACTTGATCAAAGTCGCGCTTGAGATCGTAGCTCCCTGCCACTATCTCAACCTGACTATCAACACCCTCTACGAGCTCTCTCTCTGACAGCTCTCTCCTTTTTGCCTCAAAACACAGACTATCTCCCTGACTCGATTTTTGAACAACTGCGTGAAAAAGGTGAGCAGTCTTTTCCCGACCCATATAAACTTATACACATTCTCCTAGCCGTTGGTTCTACTCAATCTTAGATATTTGATTTGATCTTGCTTGATTGATAGAACTTTCCCCAATTGCTTGCCAAGGCTGAGTTTCCTCGTTGGACAATTTCCTGTAAACTTCCTTAGTTAGGCACTTTTTCACAAGCTTTCCTTCAACAATCTCCCCCTAAGCTTGTCAATGGCTCGACTCAGAAACCTGTACACACTTAGCAAACTGTCGGTGTAGACTGTCCAAGAAGCTGTTGTTGCAAAAAGACACTTTATTTATAAACCAGCAACACAATAGATTTGCTTCTTTTATTCAAGCATCACAAATGATAACCAAACACAGAAATTCACTTACTTAAACAAACAAAAGTTACTAGCAACTCATGAATGCAACCACATCCTTATTTCTATTCTTAAAAGACAACCACAAACACTTCTCTCAAGCTTTTGTCATTCTATGATAACATGTGATGAAACATGAGAGACGCATAACTAACGCGACGACCAGCACGTGCATTAGATAGAACCCCGAGATCAGCAGAATGGAGAAGGTTAGTGCTGGCTAACTCCCGTGGTAGAAACCAACGTGAGAGATAGAAGAACAGGACCTTGAGATCGTCAGCAATCTGCCAGCAGCAAGTTTTGACAGAAACCAGCACCCAATATCATGAGCCAGAGATTCAAGGACCTCGTCAAACCAAAAAATGAGGTTGAAGTTGAAGAACTCCCTATCCGTGCCAGCTTGGTAACCAGAATGAGGAAGATCGATAACTGAGGCCAGAAGAGCAAGCGTGACCTTGATCTCATAGTCATAGACCAGAGTGGTAAAGAAGGATGGGTCACTGCCAGGACCACAACGAAGATTCACATAAAACAAGCGCACAGCCTCAGGACATTGGCTAAAGCGCAGATTTTCAACCAAGGACTCCCAACCTAGTCGATGAAAATAGGCAGGGATGTTCATGTCATATTTGGTGAAGGTGGAAGGGTGGATCGAGAAGGATGGATAGAGAGGACGATTGCGGAAGTTCCTAAGATACCTAGAGTAAGCCGCAGCATTGCGAAAACTCTGGGTTTTTAACAGATCGTGGGACTGCGACTGTGCATTAGGGTTCACCATCGGTGGGGGGGGGGGGTTTAGAGAAGGGCTAGATGTGAGAGGAAAATGAAGGGTTACTTTCAATTTATACACTTAGAGTGCATAAAAATGAGTGAAAAGAAGGAATATGTTAAGTTTTGGCAAGTATTGTTGAAAACCGAGCAAGAAAAGATCTTCACGGAATCAAAGTGAATTAATTTCGTGTTGAGAAAACATGCCAAGTTCATTTCGAATTGTCAGAAATTTATCAGCACCTAACGGCTTGGTAAAAATATCTGCCCATTGCATCTCAGTACTAATGAACTCTAAGTGAATTTTTCCATCTTGTACAAGATCACGAATGAAATGATACCGGACTTATATATGTTTAGTACGAGAATGTTGAGTGGAGTTTTTAGTCATGTTTATGGCGCTAGTGTTATCGCACATAATAAGGAGGGATCCTATGTCTAGTCCATAATCCTGAAGCTGATACTTTAACCATAAAAGTTGTGTACACCCTAGTCCTACTGCAATATACTCTGCTTCTGCAGTTGATAGTGCAACAGAACTCTGTTTTTTGCTAGCCCAAGAGATTAAGGAAGTGCCGAGAAAGTGGCACGTTCCAGAAGTACTCTTTCTATCAATCACACAACCAGCATAATCTGAATCACTATAACCTAGCAATTCAAGACTGGAATCACTTGAATACCACAATCCAAGTGATGTAGTACCCACAAGATATCTAAAAATGCATTTTACTGCAGTTAAGTGACTGAATTTTGGATTCGCTTGAAATCTAGCACATACACACACACTATGCATTATGTCTGGTCTACTGGCAGTTAGATAAATAAGAAAGCCAATCATACCACGATACATCTTATCGCTTACAGGTTCCCCAGACTCATCTAATGACAGTTGACACGCTAAAACACAACACCAAACTGCGACCAAGTGTAATCGCAGTCCGGAAATGCAGTAACAGGCAAGCTCTATTTGTCAACCCGGGGTCTAGATCTACTGCCTACTCCATGAATATCTGTTATCTAGCAAACTAAGTCGAGTGATTGTGATTTTAACTAAAAGCAGTAAGAAAGCAGGAAATGGTTGGGTTTTCTAAAGCAAGGGGAGAGCCACTCAGGAATGAGTCCCCCTAGCTCCTTAGTTAGGTCACAGTTGTAATTACCCTAGGTTGATTAACTGTTGATTCAACCGCGGAAGATCCGACAGTAGCTTGGAATCTCTTAAACTGACAAAGCCCTCTCAATCCAACTACCCGGCAGACGACTAGTCTTCACCGGGGATAGAAAGCTGAGGCTATGAACGCAGAACTCCACTACTGGAATTGGATTCTAGTACAAAGTAGTAAATCGATTAACTCTCGTATAATCAATCTACCACTACCGATTGATGAAGCTCTAGCAACCTAATCAGATTATATCTATCTCAGGTTGCAGCAGAAATCAAGAAAAGATGATCAGACTTCAATTGACTCAATAAATCATGCATCAATCGATTAAAATCAATCATTATAACAATCCCAAGTTATTACAATCAAGATCCCTAACACATGGAACTAGGGTTCTTCATACCCAAGTGAGAGAAAGTTCTACTCCATAGAGAGAGAGAGGAAAACAGAAATCAGAGTAGTCATACTCATAAAGATGAG